TTTTTAACCAAAAAGGTCATTTCGTACATTTTCCTCGACATGGTTCTTAGCGTTCTTGTTTTCTTTTCCAGGTGCGACGGGCACTGGACGAGAAACAAACGAAGCACGGAATCCAACGAACAACACCAGGAAGCTATGTACAAACACCCTATTAGCATAGGCAGACAAACCAGTAGGCATAAGACCAAGCCGCTCGGAAGATTTTTTTCACCCGAAAGGGAACCATCGAGTTTTTTTACTTCCGGCTGGTTCTGTCTTAGGGTCCTCACGACCCCACTAGGGGGGAGTGAGCTGTAGCGGTAAATAATTCCCCAAAATTATTGACCACAGCAATCACTCATTGGATGCTGACCACCACTGTTTAAGTCGACTTGTTTAGCTGAAGGCTTCCGGTCAAGCATCCCCGCCATTTGGTACCTCGTCGTGTCACGTGCACGATCACTAGCTAGCTAAGCGTTCGTCTAACGGCTTGTTTTGGCTTCTAAATATATCGCTTGGTTTGGACGATCAATTATTGGCTTTTGCTTTGTCTTTGGTACGCGAGAATAAATTAATTAGAAGTTGTTGAACGAGATATCACGTCAAACCTTTAATATCCGTTAACTCCCTAAAGAGGTAATGTCAATGGGTCTAAAGTTGACACATGCTCCAGTGGATGATTTAGGTATGGGTACAACTTTAATGTCCTTCCAAACGGCAGGCACAATATTATCGGAAAAAATATTTGGTAAATAGATCAGTGAGAGGGTGACACAGAATGTCACATTTTTAAAAAATAATATTAGGTACATAATCGGGACCTAAGCTCCAGTAAGCTTTCTTATTACCCAATTTGGATATAAATCAAAAATGAGATTCGGACTTGTACACCCCTGAGTTCTGTTGTGAAATTACTTCAAGCTTTATTTTTTTCCAAGTATTTTTAATCCATCCAAAACATACTTGGGTTTTTTGTTAATGCGAAGACAATATTCCTATGTTTCATGATGTGCTGCATTGAATGACTGGTTATCATATTGTTCCCACAAGCCAAATACAGAAACGTCAGCAACCATGTAATTTAACCGTAAACCAAATTTATGAAATTTAAATAATACTTATCCATGCCTGTACATTTGATGTGTCCTACACAGGTAGGAAAAAATATGTATTTTATTAAAACATTATTATTATTATATATGCTTGCTAATCGTATATGTGATTTATCATATTGATGATGCCTGTAAACTGGCGTCCCTCATGTACAAAATGAGAATATACTATTATTATTATTTGTTAAGAGTACATTCATCAAAGGAATATGGAATATTGTTTATCTGCTTACCACCAGTGATTTCCATAAATAGTTTCCACATATTAGAAGCATTTTTGCAGGATATGAATTTCTGGTCATATATTACATTCAACCTCTGCATTTCAGACTTAATTAAGAAGTTAGTTCTTTTTACACCACTTTTATCTTTCATCTTATACAGTTTTTCATTCTCTCTACGAAGCTTTCCAAGTTGAGACGTGGAGAAATGGTCAAACTTGACAAATAGTGTTTCTTCTGGACAACAGATTTCAAAACAGAATTTCAGATAGGATGTAATATTAGAGATATTGTCATCAAGTGAATCATCATTAAACAAATCCCATCTTGTGTCACTGAGCATGTTTCTAAGATGATGTACGTTCTCATTTGAGTAGCATCTGTGAACAACTTTCTTAGACAAGTTTGAGAAGGCTTTACTGTGTAACTTTCCGTAAATTTTCTGGTAAGACTCGTACAATACAATGATCAGAATTGAAGAGTGGGGCTCTTTTACGAGCTTCGTATATTCCAGAATCATTTATAAATACTAAATCAAGTGAAGTATTTTGTCGAGTTGGGAAATTAAGAAAATTTTCATGGCCCAGCAATGTAATAAAACTGCAGTCGCTGGAGTTGAAGTCGCCAGTCTCTATAGATAAGGAGTTACCAAACGAAGCAGCAGCAAAAATAGTGAATTCATCAGCGAAGATAGATAGTTCTGAGGGACTGCAACAAGGTGTGATTTAGATATTTGTGACAAAAATGAAGCTATACTTACTTATACTGCGTCGGTGGCACAGTGGTTAGGACTCTCGCCGACCATGCACATGGTCCGAGGTTCGAGCCCACGCCGACGCACACCTGATATCTATCTATGGTTGGCCTGCAAAATTTGGGCTACCGATATCCACGCTGAAAATTCCATACTTGTTCCAAAAATAAGGTATGGAATCAAGCTGTAATCTAAAATAAAAATTAAAAAAATAAGTGTTTAGGTCGACATTTTACAGTTATACCTATATGGGTAGCATTTATGACTAAAAGAGAAATCAATGTTCTGTTACGTATGAAATTATTGTCAATGGATTATGACTCAACATTGCTGTTTAATATCTTTTTGTGATAATTAGTCATGAAATATTAATGATAAAATCATCTCAATTGGCATACTTTCTCGTTCGTTTTGAGAGAATATTATTTACTTTTCAATACTGAAAAGTATATGAACGACGTTGCAAAAATTGTAGATGTTCATATTTGCTTAGTGTTCTTATGTTGCCTACGAAAGTTTTTTTTTAATTTTTCAAACACATTTCCAAGGGATACAAAAGTCGAAAGTGTCTGTTGACGTTTATTTTCATAACGCTGAATTTATTTATTAAGCAAGACAGACTATGAGATAACGCTTTGGCATTTGAAACTATAGGCACTGGGTTCGAGCCTCGGTGGGAACATCATCACTCACTCACTCACTCGGGAATGCAGGTACATCCAGATGACGAGTCCCAAATAGGACGAAATGTGCATCCTGGATTCCACACTGCTAGTCACCATCCACCAATTAAAGACAGACTCTGATCTGAAATCAGTGAGAAAACCTGCTGTAGAGTCGGCATAAGGAACAAGATCCGAACTTTCAACACTAATATCAAGCCAGTCACTGCTTCTATATGATTCAGAGACTTGACACATGCGTCATTAAAAGCATTTCCAACAGGCTGCTGCAGTAGACTTTTATCAACAGCTGCCTTCGTTGGCTCGATGTTGAAGCAAAGAAGTACTCTGATGACGATCCATCCAAGAACCTATTATCCAACAGGTAGGCAAAATAAAATGGAGGTGGGTGGGGTATATGCTAAGGAGATCGTTAAGTGACATCATGCACCAGGCGCTCCCACGAGTGTAACCTGAAAGGGGAATGTTGAGTTGGGCGTTTGATGGAGACATGAAGATCATGTGAGGAGGCTGGGAAGACTGAAAAATATTGCAGAGAACAGCATGAAATAGATGCATTCCAATCCCAACTCAAAAGAAGAAAAATATAATATCATAATAAAATTGCAGAATGCATAACCGTGTGTGTCTGTGTGCGTGTGTGATGAGTGACCGTTAAAGCTAAGGGACTTTCACCAATCAAGCGTTTATCGTCATATACTTAAGAAAAAGCTATGTCTAACATCTGGCGACTTATATCATGATATGTTTGCGTAAATTTCGATCGTTAGGTTAACGTTTAGATTTGTAGGTCACTCTGATAAAATCGTTGTGTCTATGCTCAGCCGACCAGCTGAATTTTGTCGACTTTTCACGTGTACGTAAATAATTTCAAGTACTTTTTTTAAAGTTAGTAGTTCGGCTTACTTTAAACGGTTTGTATTCACACAGAGTAGTACTTTTCCAGTAGACTAACTTTCTGTTCATTATTCATAATAGCTTTAAAGTAATGTATATATAAATTTTCGAACAAATCATTGAATGACAGTCAAACTTCTACCTTAACTTCATCGACTTCGAAAAGGCCTTCGACAGCGTAGATCAAGAAGTAATTTGGAAACTATTTGAACACTACGGAGTACCTCAATTCTTTGTCAACCTTATTCAACAGCTAGTTACATGACAGTGTCACGCGTCAAGTGATCCACAGCCGAAAACTCAGCGAGTCGTTCGAAGTACATACAGGAGTAAGACAAGGCTGCCTACTATCAATGATGATATTCTTAGTTGTGGTCAACTGGATTATGCATCAGACTGTTGGGGGTGAGGTGTCAGGAATACGCTGGACTACCGATAAGAAGTCTCTAGAAGATCTGGATTTCGCAAACGATATATGTCTAATGTCACAAAAACTCGAAGAATTGCAAGCAAAAACCAAAAAACTGGCTGAAGAGGCAGCGAGAACAGGACCCCAGTTGAATACGAAAAATGCGGAGGAGATGAAGACAACCAACGAACCGCCACAGTAACAACAACCAGCACCACTCACAATCAACAAGAGTGATTTAACAGAGGTTGCCTCCCTCACTTATCTGAGAAGCATCGTCTCAACTACAGGCAGAATGGACAAAGATGTCAAAGTGAGAATCAGAAAGGCAAGATACGCCTTCAATAATCTGAAACCACTTTGGAAATCTTCAACACTTAGCATAAGGAACAAGATTCGCATTTTCAACACCAACGTCAGGTCGGTACTTCTATACGGGTGAGAAACTTGCACTGCGTGTCACGAAGAGGATTTCCAACAGGCCACAGCAGACTTTCATCAACAGCTACCTTCACCAGCTGCATACTGAAGATCAAATGACCAGAAAGAATTAGTAACAAGTAACTCTGGTTGGGAACAAACCAACCAAGAACCGATCGGTGGGGCATACATTGAGGAGACAGTTGAATGATATCGCGCACCAGGCCCTCGAGTGGAATCCCAATGGGAAGCGACTAGTGGGTCTTCGATGTGAGAGTAACATGGAGGAGATCGTGTGAGGAAGAGATGAGAGAGTTTGGTCAATTGTGGACTCAGCTGAAGAGGACGGTAGAAGGATTGACAGAGTGGAGATATGTTGTTGAAGCCTTATGTTCCACTGGGAACGCATGGAAATTATAATAGTAATAAAAATAATATAAATTTGGTTTTTTTTAGCAAAAATACTCACTGCTTTCCTTTTTTCTTTATAAAACTATAGGAATTGTCGTCTAAATTATCAAATCAATGTCAGAAATATCTCGGCTTAAAAAATATGTACAAGAAGTAGGTTGTTTATTTATTCGTTTATTTATTTATTTATCTATCTATCTATCTCAACTAATTTTATATAAAACTTAATATCTTTTATTGAATTGAATTTTTGATTTTCCCGTGGATTGATTGGACCGAAGTGCTCGGTCTCAGGTTGACATGTCGGCTTCTTGTGCAGATGCTTCGACGATGTCTGGGTATTTAATTAGTATACAGTTGGTGGATGGTGGCTAGCAGTGGAATCCAGGATGCGCATTTCGTCCTATTTGGGACTCGTCAGCTGGATGTACCTGCATTTCTCAGTGAGTGATGATGTTCCCACCGAGGCTCGAACCCAGTACCCATAGTTTCAAACGCCAAAGCGTTATCCACTAGACCACTTGGGCCACGAGAGCCACCTCTTGTGCAAATATCTTTTATTGAAATAATATCGAAAATTTCAAAACGTATATTCATTGATACCCTGTTGAACAAGACAGTGGGTTGTCGTGGCCCAGATGGTCTATTGAATAATACTTTGGTGTTTTTTTTTCAACGATGAGTAGTTGGGTTCGAGTCTCAGGAGGAACATCATCACTCGCTCACCCACCTTACGGCTGAGAATTATTAACGATGCTGGCAAGAATAAATGTGATTGGCGTTCAAACCTACAAACTCAATTAGAAATAAGCATAAGGATCAATCCTGTGGAGCCTTTAAAACAAAACAATTTAATTTATCTAATACCCTGTCTGCAATGATTATCAAGTCAAATGCATAGGTCACACTAGTAGAACAGGGTCAGTGAGTCAGACTAGCCGAGCATAAAAACCTAGCTAAATCCAGATTAGCTGACCCCAATAATAAGATAAGAAATCTAAAGAATGGTTCAGGTTTAGCACTCATCACATGCAATTACACACAACCATACAACAGGCTGGATAGGGTAAGATGACAGTTTCAAAGTGTAATGTAACAACAGGGTGGAGGGAGAGATTGATGACAACGGAAGCTTTATTCGTCGAATCAACTGTAAATACGTGTAATAGGAATGATTCAACACCTGTTCTAGACGGATATCCGGAAAATTCTACTATCTCTACGACGACAAATGGGAAATAATAAAGGAAACTGTAAAACTCAAGTTTCGAAGTTGTGTGGTTTTAATTGCTGTGATTATGAACGATAAATTTTGTTCGAAACTTTGTCATCCAGTAAATAATACTGTTTCATCACTGTGTGATATATCTAATAAAAAAACTAATAGGGAATTACATACTATCAGTGTCCAAGTTCTACACATGCATTGATGTGTAGGAGAAAGAATAGTACCATTAAAAAACACGAAGATTTAATAGATCTAGGAGATCATAAAAAGAGTGAATGTATCAGTGCCATTGAAAGTGATTTTGAGCCATATCACCAGTTTTCCCCGAGGACCGTAAACTGGCAGTCTACAACCTTTTTCATTACTTCATGCACTGAAGCGATATTTATTCAACCGCTGAATTCAGATAGCCACCCACTTGATGAACGTATTTTCAGATTGTTATTAAAAGAAAGATTTGATTGATTTTAAAAGCAAGAAAAGTGGATGAAAGAATAGTTCGTAAATAAAATTCACCGCTGGTAAAATGCTTTCGAATTCTTCTTACACAACCATAGTATCCAGAATGTTGCGATTAGACGTATTTTCAAAATTATGGTGTTTAGGATTAGAGTTTAGTTGAAATACACCCTGTCAAACTTATTACTTTGTCTTCTTTCTGAAGATTGAGCTGCTACATTCGACCTACTGAAGTTGTCAGGTGACTCAACAGCTACGGATTTAGGATATGCATTCTGTTGCAGACAACGGAGAGTGAAAACACGATGGTTGTGCCGATTACATAGTTTCTTTGTTAATATAATTCGATTGTAAAATAATTCAAATGAACTGTAGTCAAGATTTGACAGAATAGTTCTAAAATATTTGGGCGCAGAGTGAAAACAATAGATGTTCCTTATATATATATATATATATATATATATATAAACCTTTGTTATGTTAATTTGGATTAATTTCCCTGAAGAAGTTCGGGCTAGATTACCGAATGAAACGTTGGAATTACTCATTTCCATATCGCTGAGATTTTACAAATGTCTATACTTCTCACTCGGTGCCCAAATATTTTAGAACTATTCTGTCAAATCTTGACGACAGTTCATTTGAATTACTTTGCTTTTACTTTAATAATCCATTCATTATTATGACTCTCACATGTTCCTTTTGTATTTTTTCTTACCCTCTTCGCACTTGTTAAATTGACACTCAAATACCTTTATTCTCACGCAATAACAATTTTAACCTTATCAAATTTCTAACTCTTTCTTTGTGCCGTTGAGTATCACATAATTTACAACTTTTATTCTTACTTCTAAAGCCACTTCTGAGTAATTCTATCGATTATGTCACCACCTATTACTGAATGATGGACTACCATACATTTTTGGTAAATATATATACGACTATACAACCTCTGAAGGAAGATGATTTCGTCGATAAAGATCATAAGTGAAACAATCTCGGAGAAAAATGGCACTATAATTAGCTCCCAGGATAGACGACTGGAACGCTGGAAAGAGCACTATGAGGAGCAGCTTAATTGGCCCACATCCAACACCTCTCTGAATGGGATATAGACACAGGTTCCCCTTTCTTAACTGAGGTTACTAAGGTTGTCACTAGTCTGAAACAAGGCAAAGCAGCAGGATCTGATGGAATGACTCCAGAGGTATTTAAGTACGGTGAAAACAGTTTACTGTCTACATTAACTGAGGTTCTAGGCAGTGTCTGGGAATCAGAAGAAGTCCCATCGGGTTGGTGTAAGTCACTGATTATCCCCATATACAAGAAGGGAGACAAGTCTTCCTGTGATAATCACAGAGGGATTAGCTTGACTAATATAGTATCTGAAGTCCTAGGCTCAATAATCATGCGAAGACTAAGTGGTGCTCGGGAGGCACAAACACGAGAGAGCCAGGCAGGCTTTAGGCCAGGAAGAGGGTATATTGATCATCTCTTCACCCTACGACAGATTCTAGAACATAGGAATTCCTACAGGCGTCCAACAATCATTATATTCCTTGACATAAAGGCGGAACTCGATTCTCTCGACCGAGAAGTTCTCTGGCGATGCTTGGCTGTAAAGGAAATTCTGAGAAAATATATTGCACTGATTAAGGCACTCTACTCATACTCATACAGCCAGGTTAGGGCTTACAGCGAGTTGTCATCTGAAGTGGTGCTGACTAGTGGTGTCCGTCAAGGATGTCCATTATCCCCTTTTCTATTCAACTTCATCATAGATGTACTAATGGACTTGACCCTAAGTGACTTCAGCGACTCAGGGATTGACTTGCTACCAGGGAATAATCTCGTTGACTTAGAATATGTAGACGATGTAGTCCTTCTAGGCGAGGACGCTGACAAAATGCAGAGTTCTTCTGAACACCTTGAGCTGCGATCTACGAATGTTTGGGAAGCGATTCGCTCCCGCCAAATGCAAGATGATGTTACAGGACTGGACTACACCGACTCCCAGATTAGAAATAGGAAGTAAATTGGTGGAGCACGTTGACAGCTTCACTTATTTGGGAAGTACCGTCAGCAAACGCCAACGGGTTGATTTCTGACGAAATCTCAGCACGAATACAGAGGGCCAGTCTCGCATATGCCAGTTTACGCCGCCTCTGGCGTAGACGTGATATCCGACTATCGACTGAAGGGCGAGGGTACTGCTCATCAGTCCGCTCCGTCCTCCTTTATTGCTGAGAAGTGGCCACTGAGAGTGGAAGACATGAAAAGATTAGCTGTCTTTGATCATAAGTGCCTGCGTTTTATTTCCCATGTGCAGAAGGCTCGTCTAGCATTTGCTCACTTATACTGTCTCTGAAATAAATGTGATATCCAAAGGATGTGTACTGCTCAGCAGTTCACTCCATCCTCTTTTATGGCTGCAGTGAGATATGGCCACTGAAAGTGGAAGACGTGAAAAGGCAGGCAAGGTGTCGTTGATCATAGGTGTCTGCGTTCTATTTCCCGTGTGAAGTGGTATAGTAAGGTGAGCAATATTGAGGTTAGGCATTCGTCAAGTTCTAGGTAAGGAGGGGAAATCAACCGACGAAGTTGTGAAGTTACAAAGACTGAGATGGTGAGGACATGTGTAACGAATACACGCCTAGTCATCGCCTTCCTCGACAACAGGCACTGTTAGCTGATATAGGGTCAGGCTGGAAAAAAGCTAGCGATGGTCAAACCAAAACATGGCCTCACCAGTCAATGAAATCCACAACAGTTAGTTGAAGCCGGCCACGTAGGAAGGTGTAGACTTCCTGACTGGTTGGGGTCCTCAGGATGGTAAAAACCAATGGTTGGAAACAATTAGTGACATGGCTCAAAATCGTTCTCAATGGCTGGTGCAGATGCCTCCACTCCTTGTGACTTATAATTTCCAATGAAACTATATTGTTCTTCGTTACTACTATTCCTTTGTCTCACACCTCTGTTTACTGTCTCTATTATGCATTTCTTCTGTGGCTTTGTGTGCTACATGGAGGGAGTGTGGCGACTTGAACTGGTGCACATCTGTGCAAAGTTCTATGTCGAAAACAGACAGACAGACGATAAAGAAGACTTTTTACGCTGAATTTGTTTTTTATTTTCATAAGTGAATTGAATTCAAACCAAGCACCTATCAGTTGAAAGTTTCATATTAAAGTTGATGAGGTGGTGAAGTCGTTGATTTTGGTGTTGAGTGATATACTTTTAAATCTTACAAGAGGGAGAAAGAGAGATACGAACCTCCACAAGTTTACAAGTAATCTTACTGGATAATTTTTTTTTCGACTATTATTCATCTTAACACTTTAAAGATTCAATCATTCAAACAACATGCAAAGAATCAAACCGTAAATACAGGAGTACAAACTAATGAAGATTTGATCCCAGTAGGAGGAGGAGGAAGAGGAGAATCAGTAAAAGCAGCAATGAATAAAAGAAACGGTGATAGTGAATTGGTATGTCAACTTTACATTTTGGTTGGGAAAGCATTAATTCATGTTCACTTTCAACTTTTTGCGTGATGGAATATTGTCCATTCATCTTTCTTATGTTATATTTTCTTTTTAAAGATTCCTATATGTTCCCAGTGGAACATAGGCGGCTTCAAGCTAGAGGCTTGAAGTTTCGGAAGCAGTGGTGTTTACTTTTTACGGCATGGGGTTGCTAGCCTCATGCCCAACCCAACCTTCTCTCTTTATCAGTGTTATTACTGGTTTAGCGTGGGGTAAAGGAGTGTGTCTGTGTGGCCGGCGTGATTGGCGAGCATTCTACCGCTGTGCCACCGACACCTATTCACCATATTCATTCTGATATGTTTCTTTGTATTTTGATGGTAATTTTATTTTAATATTCAAAAATGTGACATTTGAATGCTTTGCAATCGTATGTAAATGTTATTTCAAATATTAATATGAAATATTCCCATTATTAATAGTATTAGAACAAGACATATAAGCGACATATATTGCTGTTATTTTCAATCAGATCTTCAGGCTTTAATTTATATAGATTTATGCATAAAAATGATGCATAATGATAACAGTTATAATATTATTATTGTTATGAACAAGAATATGGACTCTTTTGATGTAAACTCGTCATTTACTAATGTGCCTTTGATCAAAACAGTTGACATTTTGTGTGATTATATTTCCACAAACAATTTTTTCATCCCGTTCTCTATATCTTTCTTAGGGGATTTATTACTTCTATGTACTAACAATGTTAGGTTTACATTTGAAGGCGATTGTTTCCGCCAAGTTGATGGTGTTGCTATGGGAAGTCCGTTAGGACTCCTTTTAGCAGATATTTATATGTCGTACACTGAGAATTTATTGGAGGATTTAATCGAAAATGTGCCACTTTATAGAAGGTATGTAGATGATATCGTAGTCATCAGTGATAAGCCCTGTTCTGCCACCTCAATTTTAAATCGAATGAATGAAATTCAGAATAGCATATCACTTACATCTGTAGAAGAGGAAGATAATTGTTTATCTTTCCTAGACATATTGATTAGTGGACGGCTTGATTGGTCAATAAAAAGATCTATTTATAGAAAATCTACCTGGACAGTACAGTATCTTAATTGCCACAGTTTCTGCCCTGTTCGGTACAAAAGGGCCTTATTGAGCGAGGTGCCTCTTCAGTAGAATCCAACGAATATGCACTGAAGACACACTTGATGAAGAAGAAAGAAAGTTGACACAGACTCTGGTTGATAACAATTATCCAGACAAGTTTTCATCAGAAGATATGAAGTAGTCAGTGGAAGACCAAGACCCACTCTAAAACTGGCGCTTAAGGAAGACGTGTACATCAAGCTAACCTATATGGGGCATCATAGTAGCTTGATAATTAGACAAATAATGAACGTTGCTGTTAAAAAGACCTTTTATCCAGTCAATATCACAATACCGGAGAATGTGAAGCCAATATATCTATCTAAGCCCTTCGAACATGCGAAAAATGATGTCACATCCCAATAGATTTACCAATTTGAATGTACGTGTGGACATACATACATAGGGAGGACTCATCAATCTCTGCAAGTAAGGGCTTCAGAGCACATTCCTAAGTAGCTCCAGAAACAAATGGAATCTTCAGAACCTATTAACGGTGAGAACAGGAGACCTAGGTCTTCTATTGCAAAACATATCATAGAGATAGGACATAAAATTGATGTTAACAGATCCTTTTAACCTATCCATAATACGTGTTTGAGGCGTATCCTAAAGTTTGTGGAAGCCCTAGCAATTAGAAAGTTCAAGCCACTTTTATGCGTTCAAAAACAATTCGTCATCACACTCAACCTTCCTTGGTAAACTTTGTTTTGATACCAGTCAGGGTAGATGTACTATTACCTTTGTTATTCGGTTTATTGATCTTCAGTATGTCCTTTTAACTTGACCTAAGTCTATTTTCCTCACCTCTTACCTCTTTATTAATCTCATATATATTCCTATGACAAGTCCGTGTGTGATCAGATTGTTCGAAATGTGTTGCGTAAATACATTGCAACACGATTCAGGTAAATTACGTCTTCTTATTGCTTTATCTAAACTCATCAAGGGAACTAATTGTTTTAGATAATAATAACAATAGTGGTAAATGTTTTGAGCATCATTAATAACAATGATTATAATGATAATGAATTGATTCCTGTAGCTTCAGGTTCGAATGCCGTTCGAAAGGTTCTATGGAATGCGATAGATAACTCTGAAGGCACTTGTTTTGTCCACTTGGTGACCGCTATCAATCAAATGGGTCAAAGTAAAACTCCTTATGTATTTTATTTGGCCTTTTCCGAACCATGAAGAAAGATACTTAGTAATAGTTGTTCGGCCTATATAGTTTTCTTCGTAGGAACAACTAAATTTTTAGGTAAAAATAGAATAGGAATAACCAGGCAGCTTGTCTTTCGCTTGAGGAATCATAATTGCTCAGCTGAACAATGACAAACAAAGGGTGGTAGCAGTATAACTCCGTTTTATTGCTCTAGATAGTCTTTGATGTAGGACTTCAATAGCCACGTGCCCATTGAAGTATAGTTTCAAGAACAATTGTTCCTTCTTAACTGTTGTCAGTTTCTCTTTATTGTGCCTAATGTTCATGTGTCTCCTTACAAGTCTCCTAAGATAAGCTATTTAAACCAGCGTATTTTGGATGCATTTTAATTCATTTTCCAGGGAATCATCTGTACACATCCGTCTTGGTCTATTCGTGAGGCATCTGACCGAAAATTGATTGTGTATCGAATTAGTGCAAAACTGAAGAGATGGGTATACTGTCCTACAGATGTAGGTTTTCTATAGACATCTCTCTTGGTTCGGAAAAGGTCGAATAAAATCTATAAGAAGTTCTACTTTGACTTATTTGATTGATCTTAGCGGTTAAAAGTGGACAGAAGTAGCGCCTTCAAAGTTATCTATCGCATTCCATCGAACCTTTCAAATGAAATTCGAACTCGCCTTTTACACATAGCTGAAGCTATGGGAATTAATTCGAGAGAACAATCCTAGTGTCTTTGCATACAAAAGAAGTTTGTCCTACCTTTGTCTCTCCCTTGCTTGCCTAGGTGAATTCTAATCAAAACCTTCCCATCCTTCCTTATTTTCCATTTCCTTCTTAATTTTTGTGATATTTATTTAAACTCGGATTATCTGACCACTTCACCTTAAGTATTGCGTAACTTTTAAGATTTGACCTAATTTATTTATTGAATTGTCTACATATTACTACACATATATTACTACCTTTGTTATTCTTATCGCCACTTGCATAAACCCTACTATCATTATTTTGTTATCATTATAATCATCGTTATTAATGACGTTCAAAACTTTTACCACATTATTATTATTATTACTATTCGATCCACAAAATCACCGTCAAATTTTTTATATATAAATCTATATAAATTAGAAGATCTTAAATGTCTTGTCCTAATATGAATATTACACAAGTATGACTGCATGCCCCACTTATAACACGTGAAGGTAGATAATAGTACTTCTCTTTCGGCATAAAAAAAACAATGTTTATGAGGGAAGGTTTTATGTGATGACAAGTTTTTGTCAGACGCATGGAGTTGGTTTAAACTTTCTAATTTTTAGAACTTTGACAAACTTCAGTATATATACTCCAAACACATTTTATAGATAGATTTAAAAATGGTTTCAGCATCAATTTATGTCCTGTATTTGTCATATATTTCACAGTAGGAAAGCTTAGTCGTCTGTTTGCATCATTAATGGATTCAGAGGATTAGATTTGCATTTGAAACCGTCTAGAGATATGCTCTGAAGCTATTATTTGCAAAAACCTATGAGTCCTCTATGTATATATATATATATATATATATATATATATATATATATGCGTCGGTGGTACAGCATTTAGGACGCTAGCCAACCATTCACATGGTCCAGAGTTCGATTCCTGGCTGACTCATACCTGATATCAATGGTTTGCCTGCTAAATTTGGGCTACTGATATCACATGCTGAAAATTCTATAGCTGTACCAAAATACTGTGTGAAATGAAACTGTGATAAGAAAAATGACCACACTTAAGTTTAAAATGGTAGATACAGTCGGGTGTGACATCATTTTTCATATTCTCTAAGCGGTTAGCTTGATATACGGGCTTCATATTCTCAATTATTCGGATCTAATGTGCACAAATAGTCTTTTTTTTTAACTGCATCGGTCAATCTTTGTCTACTTCTTTAGCTGCTATGATCACCCATGTAGTATAGCTTGATAATGTAGATCTTTGTAAGCGGAGAGTTGGACACTTGGTCTCTGTATTCTGAGTACTTTATACCGCCTAATGAACTCCTCTGGATAGTTTTTATCAACCAGATTTTCTGTCGTTTTTCTTTCTTTAGCTTCAGGTGTGTTCTTTATGCCTTTGCCGTCGAATCCTGTTAGACAGGCACCTCACTTATGTCCATTCTCTCACCCCTTAACTCTTATTATTATTTTCATATATATATACTCCTATCTGTTTTCGACATAGAACTTTGCACAGATGTGCACCAGTTCAAGTCGCCACACTCCCTCCATGTAGCACACAAAGCCACAGAAGAAATGCATAATAGAGACAGTAAACAGAGGTGTGAGACAAAGGAATAGTAGTAACGAAGAACAATATAGTTTCATTGGAAATCATAAGTCACAAGGTGTGGATGCATCTGCACCAGCCATTGAGAACGATTTTGAGCCATGTCACTAATTGTTTCCAACCATTGGTTTTTACCATCCTGAGGACCCCAACCAGTCAGAAAGTCTACACCTTCCTACGTGGCTGGCTTCAACTAATTGTTGTGGATTTCATTGACTGGTGAGGCCATGTTTTGGTTTGACCATCGCTAGCTTTTTTCCAGCCTGACCCTATATCAGCTAACATCGCCTGTTGTCAAGGAAGGCGATGACTAGGCGTGCATACGTTACACATGTCCTAACCATCTCAGTCTTTGTAACTTCACAACTTCATCGGTTGATTTCCCCTCCTTACCTAGAACTTGACGAATGCCTAACCTCAATATTGCTCACCTTACTATACCACTTCACATGGTAAATAAAACGCAGGCACTTATGATCAAAGACAGCTAATCTTTTCATGTCTTCCACTCTCAGTGGCCACTTCTCAGCCATAAAGGAGGACGGAGCGGACTGATGAGCAGTACCCTCGCTCTTCGGTCGATAGTCGGATATCACGTCTACGCCAGAGGCGACGTAAACTGGCATATGCGAGACTGGCCCTCTGTATTCGTGCTGAGATTTCGTCAGAAATCAACCCGTTGGCGTTTGCTGACGGTACTTCCCAAATAAGTGAAGCTGTCAACGTGCTCCACCAATTTACTTCCTATTTCTAATCTGGGAGTCGGTGTAGTCCAGTCCTGTGACATCATCTTGCATTTGACTGGAGCGAATCGCATGCCAAACATTCGTAGATTTCAGCTCAGGGTGTTTATACTCTTATAACAAGTGCATGTGTGATCAAATTTTTTTTGAAAAGTGGTGTGAGAATACATTACACGAATTAAATGTGTTACCTTCTTCTTATTGTTTTGCTGAAATTCATAAAGGAAACTAAGTGTTTCAGACTTGATTATTTGTTTGTCTTATAATTTTATTCTAATAATAATAATAATATTAATGATGATATGCATGTCAAACATGCACAGGATAATTACAACACCAGCTATAGGGAATACAAATCATAAGTAGTACTTCCGCACAAAGAAGGAACCTCGGCAATCTTACGGTTGAGAATTCCTAACAATGCTGACAGGAATAAAAGTGGCTGGCATTCAAACCACCTACAAACTCAATTAGAAATAAGCTATTTTTTCGGTTAAAGGATCAGTCCTGTGGAGCCACTTCAACAAAACAGTCTAGTTTATGTAATACCCTGCCTACAATGATTGTCAGGTCAAATACCTAGCAAAATCTAGATTATCTAGTGAGGTTCTATTCCAAAGACTTTCAAGGAGTATACGAAGAAAATTTTACGCAGCACACCTATGTTTATCATTCTCTAGCCGACGAATGATCGGGACGCAAACGAAGGATAAGCTAGATACTTTTGCCAAATCTATGTGCGTTTATCAATTCAACTGCACCTGCGGTGACAGTTATGTTGGTCGCACTACTAGACAGCTTAGCCAACGTGTTAGTGAACATCTCCCATCGTGGCGGCTTGGCAAAGGACAGACAAAAACAATCCGTAGCTCAATTCTGTCACATCTAATTGATAGTGGTCATGTAGTCGAGAAAACGAGAGCCTTTAAAGTAATTCATCGTATCCCACCGAATCTTTCTAATGGACTTCGTATTCGTCTACTGCACACAGCTGAGGTAGGCGATAGGCATTCGAACTATTAAACCTAAACTATGCATTCAGAAAAAGTTCGTACAGCCATTATCCCTTCCTTGGCCTATTAAGACATAACCAACTAAAGACTTCTGCACCACGCCTTGTTTATATTTTCAACCCCTTTCTTATCATCCCTTAATCTTATCTTCATTATAAACGTGTTTCATTTCCTTTCCCTACAATTTAACATTACATAATCGGTTCATTTGTTTTTCCTAGCCTTTATCGACTACTTCCGTCTGAGCAATTGTCTGTTTAATCATACTGTTTCTCATTATTCGGGTTATCACAGATTGTCTCACTTTTTCATCCTTATTATTGATAAGACTTAATATTATTATCATAATCATTATTAATATTATCATTACTACTATTATGACTAATTGCACAATTTGTATTCACCATCGTATTATCCTGTAGACAAAACACCATGATTGGTTTATATTTGAATTTTTATTTGTAAACTTATATATATTAGTTATTGAATTGAATTTTTTGATTTTCCCGTCGATTGTTTGGACCGAAGTGCTCGGTCTCAGGTTGACATGTCGGCTTCTTGTGCAGATGCTTCGACGATGTCTGAGCATTTAATTAGTATACAATTGGTGGATGGTGGCTAGCAGTGGAATCCAGGATGCGCATTTCGTCCTATTTGGGACTCGTCAGCTGGGAAACGTCGGTGGGAACGTCATCACTCACTGAGAAATGCAGGTACATCCAGATGACGAGTCCCAAATAGGACGAGATGCGCATCCTGGATTCCACTGCTAGCCACCATCCACCAATTGTATATTATATATATTAGAGTTAAGCGTGATGAGATCTAATTGAAAACAGTATTGTTCGCTTAAATGTGTTGTTCTAAATTTTACTATGGGAATATTAAATATATTGAAATCTAGATTAGCTGACCTCAATAATAAGATAAGAAATCTAGAGAATAGCTCAGCAGCTATAGCCCTACACCATATGCAATTACACACAACCATACATTAGGCTCAATGGGGGTAAGATGACAGTTTCAAAGTGTAATGAAACAACAGGGTGGAGGGAGAGATTGATGACAATGGAAGCAGCTATATTTATCGAATTAGCTGAGAACACCTGTACATACGGCCATCTGGAAAATTCTACTACCCCTTAGACGACGAACAGGATAGAATAAAGGAAAGTATAAAACTCAAGTTTTGAAGTCGTATGATTATAAACAGTAATAAATTGTGTTCGAAACATTGTCATCCAGTAAACAGTTATACTGTTTCAACACTGTGTGTGTGTGTGTGTATGTGATATCTAATAAACTAAATTAATATAGAATTATCTACTACCACAGCGTGCAAGTTTTACATATTTATTGATTCTGATTGATTATTAATAAATATATATTTTATTATTTTAGACTACAATTAATAACTCTTTATATTCAAATGAAAGTCTCCTGAAGCAAATAGAAGCTCTTCATCAAGAACGAACTAGTTTACGCTCTTGCCTCTCTCAACAACTTTCTTCTATTCGAAAATTGCAACAGGTAGATAGATCACTTTCGTTTTAGCAATTTATCATTACACTACTTATTATAGACAAAAGTAGTAATAGAAAGTGACTTTCAATATATTTATATGTATTTATATGCATGTGCATTCCTATCTCATCACGCCATTATTTGACGTAAATATTTTAAAAATATTATATTACGTATTATGTAAGTGTCCCAAATAGTGAACACAATTCATGGTTTCATTCAAGAGAATGTGAACAAATAAGCATCCTTATTATTATTATTATCAGTGTTTAGATTAGATCAGAGCAGATCACGATGTCATTCATTGAATAATAAATAAATAAATATTGGTATACAATATTTCCGAGTTGTCCAACAAGCATGTTACTTACTTATTCACATCAAATTTGTCATAATTCAAAGTATTTTTTGTAGATTGAATTCACCTACTTGACGTTAAAAAAAAATATGATAAGATAGTGGTTTTGTTTAAAATTTCAATGTGTTCAATATTCACTTTTTCTTTAATAATTGATCACAAAAGTGTATAATTTGATTGACATATTCTAACTTGTTTTGAAAGAATTAGGTATAAGTTAAAATTTAAAGAAAAAAGGCGAAGTGTGTAATAGAATAATCATCTTGAAAGTGTGACAATTTCTAGTTAAGGAATGTGGATGATGGATGATGAGGGCACTTTGTCACTAGAAGCCACACATAGATCACAGTTGAATGATTACTACTATGAATTATTCTAGAGAAGCATTCTTTCCTGATTTTTGGAAATCATCTTCATCTTTAAGTGTTGTTGTGTTGACCACTTCACCTATTTGGGAAGTTGTATTAGCACCAACGGACTGATTGGAGACGAAATCCCAGCAAGGATCCAAAAAGCTCGAGCTGCTTTCGCTGACTTACACCATCTCTGGCGTAGACGTGACATCCGGCTGGCTATCAACCAAGGGACGTGTGTACTGCTCATCAGTTCGCTCCGTCCTTCTCTATGGCTCTGAAACATGGCCAATACGCGTTGAAGACATGAAAAGGTTGACTGCTTTTGATCATAGATGTCTGCGATCTCTGTCTCACGTTAGGTGGTTTCACAAGGTAAGTAATGTTGACGTTAGGCGTAGAGTGTTGGGCAAAGAGGGAAAATCAATCGACGAGGCTATAAAGTTACATAGACTAAGATGGCTAGGTCACGTGGTGCGCATGCCTAACCATCGCCTCCCCCGACGGGCATTACTAGCTGATATAGGTGCAGGTTGGAAAACAGTAAGTGGTGGCCAAACAAAAACATGGCCTCATCAATCCATGAAATCCTTGACAGTTAAACTGAGCCAGGTAGGGAGGGAGATGCAGACTTCCGGGTTGGGGCCCTCGGGACTCTAGGAATCAATGGCTGGAGACAATAGGTGACATGGCTCAAAATCGTTGTCAATGGCCGGAGCAGATGCATTCAGTCTCTGTATTTTTCATATTCCTTTCTACCATTACCCATTCTGTTTCACTCTTATACTTGTCAGACTGTATTGATTCTCTTCACTCATCTTCTTGTCTACCTTTGTGGGGTATTTGGAACGTGGCAACTGGAACTTCTGCACTTCGGTTCCAAGTTCTATGTTGAATCCAGACAGACAGTTGTTTTGCAGGAATTTGATTGGCTCCAAGTCAGGGGGTGGGTGTTGGACAACTGTTTCGTCCTAGTTTGGGACTTTCCATCATCAGTACACGCCCATGATCCTATTGGGAATCGAACTTTTAAGCTTTAGGTTGTGAGGAGTGAGTCATTGGGACGGAATTCGTTACCTTATGAATTCTAACCAATACTTGAAAATGAATCTAATGTTCACAAGTGACTGACTATAGGACAAAGTTGGTTGGGATCGTAGAGAGAAGTCGTAACCTGTTGGTTACAATACAGAACTTTGTAGAGAAGCTCAGAAGTTCGATTCCCCACACTTCATATAGCACACAAAAGAGGAAAAAAGAGATTTGAAAGGTCGATAATAAGCAGAAATGTGAGGGGGGAAAATAATAACATGGAAAAACAATAGGGCTTAAAAGATATAGGCGATTACAAAGGTTGAATGCATCCGCACCAGTCATTGAAAAAGATTTTAACGTATATCACCAGTTTTCTCTAACCACTGGATCTTAGCATCCTGGGGACTCCAACCAGTCGTTCAATTTACACCTCCCTAGTCTTAAGTCATCTCCAGCCTACACTTATATCAGCTAATACTACTCGTCTAGGGGGCGATTTTCCATCATACTTACAACATGTCGTAGTCACCTCAATCGATGTAGAGTCACTACCTCTTCGATTAACTTCCCTTCCTTACTCAACACTCTACGCCTAACTTTGATATTACTTACCTCATTATACCGCATAACACGGGAGATAGAACGTAGACACGTATGACCAAAGACAGCTAGCCGACCTTTCCATATCTCCCATTTCTAATGGCTTTGTCTCCTGCCCCCCTTACTAATTTACACTTCTCCATTTCGATTTCTTGGTAAAAAATATGCGGAATGAATACACATTGTCAATTAAATATTAATAAATTCTTTGGTTATCCAAGAGTGACATATTGGGGATTGTATGACAAAAAAAATGAAAGCTAGTCAGCAGTCGTGTAATGAGAGTCGGTTAAAGAGGAGTACAGTGTGCAGTCGGGGAAATAGTCTGTCTGAAGCCTATCACTTGCTTTTTCGTAAGCAGTTCTTCAACTCATCTTTGTCTTCAAACCACTAGTAACCTTTCCAAATGATCTTCTTTCCTTCAGGAGAATTTAGCTTTATCTGATTTACTAACAAATGCAGAACAATTTAATCGTACAAATTTAAGTTGTGCTACAAACTTGACTTCTACACCATCAATCAATTATTTAAGTAGTATTGATGGTCAATACGAATCACTTCATTGCTTCAAAGGAGTTAATAATAACAATATGGTCGCTGATGAGAGAAATAATAATTCTGAAGTTGATGAAACACTCAGTCAAATGACAAAATCTCGTTCAAATTCTCGAGGTGAATTTCGTACCAGCAATATAAATTCGCCAACTGTTTCTTCTACTAATGATGTAGCACCCTGCAAAAATGTGAAAATGTCTGAACTAATGACTATGAATGAAATTTTCAGAAGAAATGGTCAAGCGAAACCAGTCGATTCGTCGAGTAAATTAAGCGAAGCAACACGTAAACCAGTACCACCTCTACGTTTATCTGCTTCACCATCTCCCTCAGCTTTAGTGAAAGTTGCAGATAGTAATCAGAATTCATCAAATGGGAATGAGATGACCAAGTAAGTTGTGGTGACATGTGATTTTCGTTTTACTTTTCATGAGACTTTGAATGTTAACAAATTTGAAAGCTTAAACTAATGCACTTTTATGCGGAATACTACATTTTTGGTTGGCCAATTCGTAAGGCAGTGGAAAAAAGTCAAAAGCTATATTGCCATGGTTTCCGGTGACCACCGAAACAGGCTCATCCATCATCCGATTCTTTCGGATTCTGTTGAAGCCTATGTACAGGGTTTTCCATCTCCTGTACATTGACCAGCGTGTCCATAAGTCGTGCAGTTGTGAGCGCCAGATGTTTGCGATTTTTGTCCTATGACGTTTGTGAAGAACATCCCCGCCAAGTGAAGGCAGTAAATTAGACTTACCTGACAGAGGTTATGAACACGTGGTTTATATGGGAGCATTTCCAAGAGAAGTTGGAAGTCGACTCACTCTTACCTGTTCTAGGTCGTTTGTGAAGTCAAGGTCATTAAACTTCGAGAATGGAATAAGATTTAAACAAACTCTTTAGTTCTCCCAGACGTTAAAAAGTAGATCAACAGAGAAAGCTATGTGTGTCTGTGATCCATGCCTGTTCAAATTCAACTACAAGGCTAATTTGGTTGAGTCGTGGACTAGCACCAATGAATTCTTATTCTAATGAGACTCAGTCATGGTAATAATAATAATAATAATAATTCATAAACTATCATTCAGTAAAGATAGGCAATCTTCTGGCTATCAAAATGCTCTTAATATGTCAGAAAAACTAATTAACTGATTAAAAATGCCCATTAAAATTTTCAAAAAAATGTATACTGAACAAAGAATACTCTTTTCGATAACCTTTTCTTCATCAGGCTCTACAGCTATATGTACAGTATAGTGAATGAATGAATTAGTGCTACAAACAACATTAATGTTGTTTAAATAACATCGAATCAGTAATATTGATAGATTACAGCTGAATCGGATCAACATAAAGTAGGCTGAATGTCAGAAGAATTAGGAAAGATAATATTACAAATTCATGAATTTATAGTCTCTACTGAAGGCCTACCAGGGTAGTAGTAGTGGCTGGCTGGACTTGCTTCTTCTGCACACAGAGCACTGGTTGTTTGAGGCGAATTGCAATAGCTTCTGCTGTTTGGAGCATGCGGTGGTTCGATGATTTTGGCAATTTATTAGGCCCCCGGTAGGTGATGATAGAGAAGGATTCTTCCACGCTGGCTTTGTGGCCGGTTTGCACCAGATGGTCTAATATCGAACTGTTCATGGTTTTAACTACACCTTTACTTAGCCATACTGGGAGATGTTCCTCAGCGAGCACGAAAAATTAAGGTCCTAGAGCAACGGCCGATATAACTGGCTCCACAAGCGCACTTGAATTGGTAGATACACTTGGAAGTGGCTTGTCTAGTTACTTCATCTTTCAGTCGAAGTAGCACCATCGGTCTTGTAGAGAATAAGACGTGTAGTTCGCTAGCATTGAAAGTTCTTTGAACTGATTTTCTTAATTTCTTCGTAATTGTTTCACTTGGCATATCGCCCTTGAATTGTAGTCGTATATAAAGTGGCTTCCTGTTTACAATTAGTGAATAGTCCATTTCCGCTTTCTTTGTCATGTGTTTCTTGATAAATTTTTCAGAATAGTTATTTTCGATCAAAGTATCATATATAATGCTTAATTCATCTTCATTTACTTCTTCTGAGCAAATAGCTCTAACTCTGTGGCTGAGGGTCTTTACTAAATTTCTTTTGTGATTGGGAGGAACGAAGCTGTGAAAATGTATATATTGTCTTGTCCGTGTACTTTTTCCATACAAATTTCTTTTTACACTACCATCTGGTTTTCTTGTAAATAAGACATCAAGGAAGACAATTCTGTCTTGGGATTCCTCTTCGCATGTGAATTTCATAGCAGAATGTACTTCATTGATTTCAGTAATTATTGTCCTCCTATTAATGAAATGTTTTGAAGAAGTAACATTAAGTCAGTGTACCGCGCTTCGTGTTTTACCAACCGCCTCCAACAACGCAACCTCACAAGAAATCGGAGTGAATACAGGTGAAAAGCAGCTATAAATAAGTTAAGACGGAGCTTAGTAAACAACTTCTGTTGTCTTTTACTGTCAATAGACAAAGTGATTTAGGACGCTTATGGGCGTAGTCCTTAAAATAAAATTGATGAAAGTAACACAAATTAGGAATACGTATATATATACGTATTATTATTATTACTACAGTTATTATTCTTTTGGGTTCCAGGTGAAGCTTAAGGCTTCGGTTGCATATCCACATTTTGCCCTGTCATCGTCAGTCCTCCGTAGCTATCCCTTTGATCTCCTACAAGCCCTTATCTCCTCTTCAGCTGACCTCCTTCCGTGGCCAACGCCTAACTCGTCGTTTCTCATTCGGATTCCACTCATGGGACAGTCTGGCACGCGTTGTCTCAGCTGAGTGTATCCACTCCGTCGCCATTTTCTTCAACATGCATTTCGGACAGTAGGCTCTTGGTTGGCTCTTTACCAGAGTTCTTTATTGGTCATCTGATCTTCAGTGAAGGCAACTGTTGATAAAAGTCTACCAGTAGCCTGTTGGAAATGCTCTCCATGACTTGAGCGCTAGCTAAGTCCTTGAAACATATAGAAACAGTGACTCATTTGACATTGGTGTTTAAAATCCGAATCCTTTCTTCTTTATGCTGAGTACAGTAGATTAATGAAGGCCTGTTTTACGTCTAAAGTTATGCTAAGAATTATTGATTAATTACTTTGTGAAATAGCTCAGAATTGTCCACACTGACTGGCTGACTGGGTTCACTGTAGGAATTTGCACCGATGTGCAGCAGTTTGAGTCGCCATACTTCACTTAGCACACAAAGTAGAGAAAAAAAGCAAGAAAAAGAATGCAAAACAGAGAAAATCAATAGAGATATGAGGCAAATGAATATTAATATGGCGGAACCATATAGTTTTATTGGATATTATAAATCACAAGGAGTGGATGCATCTGTGCCAGGCATTGAAGACGACTTTCAGTCATATTACCGATTGTCTCCAGCCATCATTGATTATGCCGTCCCGAAGACTCCAACCAGTCAGGAAGTCTACACCTTCCTATGCGGCTTAAACTAACTGTTGTGAATTTCATTGACTGATGAAGCCAAGCTTCGGTAAGACCACTACTAACTCTTTTCCATCTTGTCAGTCGGCTACCACTGCCCGTTGAGGAAGGTGATGGCTAGGCATACGTAACACATATCCTAATCATCGCAATCGATGCAGCTGCTTCATAAACTCGTCGACTGATTTCCCCTCCTTACCTGGCACTCGACCGTCGCCTAACCTCAATATTGTTTACCCTACTATACCATTTCACACAGGAGATAGAACGCAAACACCTATGAGCAAAGACAGCTAACCTCTTCATCGGGTAGCGTAAGTTTATTCACCACTTGTCATCCGCTTAATTCCGAAACCACACGTTGCTTCATCAACCAATCAGAGATTCTAATGGTTTAAGTTCTAATCAAACCACATATCGATCTTAGGTTATTCTGTCAGATCTGAAAATCGTCACTTTGCTTTTATCCTCACACCGAGAGTTAACTTTCATTTTTTATGTTCTGATATCACATAAAGAGTTCTATAAAAGGGACTTTGTCAAACTGTGAGCATCCACCACAGCACCCGCAGATTTCGCCTTGTTATTTCTTCAGTTAAAACAAGAAGTCGTTTCATCAAAATACTCTATGCGTGCACGTCTAAGTATAAAAATTCCAAGATATACCATTGTTATGTACTCTTCGAGTAGTTAATAGTCCTGACGCGGAAAGAGGGAAATCAGAAGACCACCAGGTTTACGATGATACTTGTATTTTCCAGACAAGGAAAATAATTGTCGCACAAGAGTGTGAGTGAATAAGTACGAAATGTACGGACAAGTATGTGAACAAAGAATCCAGTACAAAAGTATATATGAAAATGACTAATACACATGAACCAATAAATAGCCAGTCTTAACATGACTGGTTGTAATGTCATGTGACAACAAGGTCATACATGTTTATTTAGTCAGTGGACAGACAAAAGCATATTGTCAGTTCTAATGGAATATCGATCCATATACACATAGCAAAATATAATAGACTGTCAAAAATAAACACACACATGGTGTAGATACATGTCTACCATATTTGTCACGTATTTTATGTGGTAAAAATAATGCGTCAGACACGAACCAACTAACTAACTAACTTTCTCACCCTCAACAGTACCACCCTTATAACATCAAGCTTTATTGTTATTATTCCTCCTATATTTATAGTCCTCTCATTTTTGTGTGTTTATTTTCTCATAAGTGGTACCGCGTCGGTGGTACAGCGGTAGAATGCTCGCCGACCACGCCTCATTTGGTTCGGAGTTTGATCCGCGGCCACAGACACACTCATTTACCTCATTAATCTCATCCCGTAAAAATAAACCAGCACCACTGCTACTGAAACTTCAAACCTCTTGCTTGAAGCCGCCTATGTTCCACTGGAAACGTGAAGAAATAAAAAAATATTCCTACTGTAAATGTGGAGACGTTCCTGTTGTTAATTTCATTTCTATTTTGTAGTAAACTAAACATTGTAACAAATGCTCAAAATGCCATTTTGTATCATAAGTACTGTTTTGGGAATAAAGCAGATGATTTATTATCATTATTAATATACTGTGAGTAATGCTCAAGTTAAACTTACAGTGTTAGCTAAGGAGATAAAGTCAGTCGATGAAGTTGTGATACTGTATCGATTCAGATGGCTAGGACATGTGTGGTACGCATACCAAGCTATCGTCTTCCTCATCGATATGGAATAAGTTTGGAAAATGAGTTAGTTATTATTATTTTTATTGTTCCCTTGGGTTCCTAGTGGAACATAGGGCTTCAATTGCACTTCTCAACTTGCCACTTCTGTCTTCTGCTGTACTTTTCACTTGCATCCATGTTAGTCCATACTCTTTCAACTCCTCTTCACACGATCTCCCCTATGTCACCCACTCGCCGCTTCCCTTTCGGGTTCCACTTGAGAAATGGCCTGACGCGCGCGCGATATCACCCAACGGTGGCCTCCTCAGCGAGTGTCCAATCCATCTCCACCTTCTCCTGCATATTTGTTGACCGATTGCTTCTTGTTTTGTTGGTGATTCTTTCCGGCTCGGCCATCTGATCTCTAGTATAGAGCCAGCGAAGACAGTTGTTGATCAATGTCTGCAACAGGCTGTCGGAAATGTTCTTTGTGACCCGCCCGCCAAGTTTCTGATCCGTATAGAAGAACTGACTGACTTCACGTTTGTATTCAAAGTCCGACTGAATTTTGTAGTTGATGTTGGCTGAGTGACGAAGATTTCCAGATTGATTTCAGGTTGATGAATGTGTTTCTCGCCTTCCCGATTCTCAATTTGACATCCTCGTCCGTTCCTCCTGCTCAATGCTAGATAAGTGAATGAAGTAACCTCTTTCAAGAAAATGAGTTAGTGGTGGTATTAATTCGTGAAATCTTTGACTGTCTGTTTGAACTAGTCACAAAGAGAAGTGTAAGTTTTCTAGCTAGGGTCATGGTAACAGCACTAAGAACCAGTGACTGGAGACCTCTTCTATAGGTGATATGGTTCAAATTCATTCTAAGCAGTGCAGATGCATTCACTCCATGGAATCTTCATTATTCTCTACATGCTTATTAATTTCTCCCATACATTTCCTTTCATTAGAGCTCCTTTGGATTGTTTTCCCTACCTTTATGCCATATGTAGTGCTTCTATCTTTTATTGGTTTTATGTTTTACATTTGGTTCAACTGAAGTATCTTTTCTTAAGCTTTTTTTTTCTCCAAAAATTTGTAAAAGACGTTTTTAGAAAACTCAGTATTCCCGCTTGTTGATATCGACATTAGCAAAGTATGTCTTTTAATTCGCAAAAATTACCCATTCAAACATGAATATAAGAACAATAAAGTTAAGCGAAGAGTCTCTTTTTTCAGCAGCGAATTCATTCATCGCTTAGCTTTAAAGTTACATTTTAATGTGGTTGTGTTCTCTGAGTTGGCTATTTAATTTGCGAAGCTTTCATTGCCCTACTTGCTAGACAACATCTTCAGTGCATACTTCAATTCGAATTGAAGTGAGCTTTTAGATTTCTCCACGAGTATATTTGTCATCTCTCCTGGTGACCTAATATTAGACAGAGGAAACACCAAGAATGCTAGAGAATTTTTAGAAGCCAGCCTGGTATTCCAGTGAATCGTCAATCAATGGACATATCGAGATAGACAAAATTTACCGACCGATAAGAAGGAAATCTCCTACACAAGGGGTGAACGTTCAAGTCAAAGAAACAATTAGTTCCAATACAAGTAGCCTACAGTGTGTGAAAACACACACTGAAACAACCAATCACGTTCAAGATCACCCACCAGGAGAGATAACTTACAAACTAAACACGTGGAGAAATTTAAAAGCTCACTTCAATTCGAATTGAAGTATGGGCTGAAGATGTTGCCTAGCAAGTAGGGCAATGAAAGCTTCGCAAATTAACAATCCAGCTCTCAGAGAACACAACCACATCAAAATCATCCACCTGAGCTACAAATCTTCTCCATCATGTCTAAAGTCGCATTTATATATAATTATTTTGTGTGTGTGTGTGTGTGTGTGTACATCAGGATTGTCAAAATGCCATCAAAATATGGCGAATAATTAAAATTGCAACTAGGCGGGATTTAATATCGGTAAGTATTGACAAGGGTTGCGTAATAGGAAATAGCATGATAATCCAAACACATGTCCAAAAAATAAATTATGTAATAGGTAGAAAGAGTAAATAACGGGGTTGGTTAAGAAGAAGATGTTACTAAGACGTCATGCGAAAATTCAAAAAACAACTATACCCAAGGTCGAAGGAAGGGGGTTGAAGAAGTTTCTTCTGTGTGCATAAATCAGGGCTTTCTATCCAGATTGCTAAGGCCTTGACAGTGCGAAGTATGCGGAAGCTTACCGTTTGTTTTCGAGACGCTTCTTTTGACTTAGTATACTACTTTGAATTCTCCATTCATACTGACTGACCAGTGTTGACTATATGTTCAATCATTATTATTATTTATTATTTTATCCTTTAATTCCTAGAGGAACAAAGGGCTTCAGCCAAACGTCTCCATTGACTTCGGTTTTCTGCCAACTTTTTCACCCCACTCCATATCTGCCCACATGTTTTCATCTCCTCTTCATATGACCTCCTCCATGTCACCCTCTCAATGACGACCAACTCACCGCTTCCCTTTCGGGTCCCACTCGAGCACTGGCTTGTCTAGTGATGTCACTTGATGGCTTCCTCAGCGATGGCCGATCCATCTCCATTTCTTCCTGCCTATTTGTTTCACAATCGGTTTCTGCTGGGTTGGTTCGCTCATTTCCAGAGATCCCTGTTGTTGATCTTTTCTGGCCGGCTATCTGATCTTGAGTTGTGTTGAGCGAATACAGATGTTGATGAAGGTCTGTAGTTTGTTTGAGGTGCTCTTTATGACGCGCTGGCCAAGTCTCTGATCCGTATGGTAAGTAGCAATGACTGACTTTACATTGGAGTTGAAAATCCGGATCTTATTTTTGATGATGAGTGCTGTTGACCTCCACACAGACTTAAGAGTAATGAGGGCTTGTCTTGCTTTTCCGATCCTCGCTGCTTTGATATCCTCATCAGTTCCGCTGGCCTGTAGTTGAAACGATGCTTCCCAGGTAGGTGGGTAGGTAAAGGAGGTTGTTTCTTTCAGGTTATATGTTCAATCATAGAACTCTTTATTGATCCACTGTTGCCTTTGAGTAGCCAAGTGGGATAATGTTCTTTGACTCTTCTGCTTTAGGAATTGAGACTCATCAGCTTGGATTAAGTCGACAAATGACTGACTAGACCTGATGTTTTAGTTTGGAACGATTGGGGGTGGGAGCAGCGGCGGCTACCTTGTACTCTAATCAGATCAAGAGTGTATGTTGTGCAAGAATAAGCCTGAATTATCTAAAATTCTGATATGTTACACCTAGAAATCAATATCTTTCTTGTTTCATTTCATTTTTTGTAAAAATCTAGTTTACATCAATCTGAAAATGTTACTAGTTACGAACGTGTTTTATCAACAAAAACACCACCACCACCATCGGTGACTGAAACACAGAACCTTTTCAACACCAATAAATTATCTGCTGGTGCACTACAAAACACATATCGATTGAACAGTTCGGAGGATTCAAATACCCAATCAATAAGAATTGTGGCTACAACTGTTCCACATTTTTCTGTAACCAGTAAACACAACACATCTTTTATTGATTTACATTCTCAGAGTTATCAATTAAACAATGGAGCAAATTTGGTAAGTGTGCAGTGATCTCTATCACTTTATGATACTGTTTGTAATACATTAGTATTTCAACACTTAAAAATTTGATTGCCTAAGGGAGGCATTGTGCGTCGGTGGCATAGCGGTTAGGACGATTGCCGACCATGCACATAGTCCGGGGTTCGATTCCCAGCCACAGACGCACTCCTTCACCTCACTAAGCCAGAAATAATGGTGGTAAAGAGGAAAGGTTGGGCATGGGGCCAGCAACCCCATCCTCTAAAAATGAACACTGCTACAGAAACTTCAAGCCACTAGCTTGAAGCCGTATGTTCCACTGGGAACGTGCAGAAAAATGTTATGTACTCGTCGAGCAGTTAATAGTCCTGACGCGGAAAGAGGGAAATCAGAAGACCACCAGGTTTACGATGATACTTGTATTTTCCAGACAAGGAAAAGAAATGTCACACTAGTGTGTGAGTGAAAAGGTACGAGAGTACGAAACGTGGGAATATAAGTTTGAACAAGAATAATAAAGCAAGAGTATATATGAAAATGACTAATACACATGAACCAATAAATGGTCAGTCTTAACATGATTGGTTGTAATGTCATGTGACAACAAGGTCATACATGTTTATTTAGTCAGTGGACAGACAAAAGCATATTGTCAGTTCTAATGGAATATCGATCCATATACACATAGCAAAATATAATAGACTGTCAAAAACAAACACATATCATGTGGATACATATCAAAAAATTATATTATTATTATTATTTTTATAAGGGAGGCATTAGTGCGTAGAAATTCTTGCATGGAATAATGGAATTGGGACTTCGATTCTATTTTGTTGGTTTTCGGATCTGAAGTAATGGTTAACAGGGACAGATGGGGGGGGGCGTTTGTACGGCTGTGTTAGAGTTGAAATTCCGGGACCCTCGCCAGACAAACTACGGCGAAAGCATTTGCCAAGAATGTTTTCATTGATCAGGAGCAAAAGTTTGAGTTTCGAAGACGATCAGATGCCGTCGTAGTTGTGATTATCAACGATGCCAACTGACCATTCGTGATGGTTCTTTAGCTGACATTGCGGACAGTCCCCGGGAAACTTTTAAGTCTTTGGGCTCCGGAGGAAGTATGGTTGCAGTGCTGAAACTTAAAGGAATTGACGGAAGGGCACCACCACCAGGAGTGGAGCCTGCGGTTTAATTCGACTCATCATGGAGAAACTCAGTCGGCCCGGACACTGAGGATTGACAGATTGAAAGCTTTTTCTTGATTCAGTGTATGGTGGTGGTGCTTGGCCGTTCTTAGTTGGTGGAGGAATTTTTCTGGTTAACTCCGATAACGAACGAGGCGTTAACCTACTAAATAGTAGACTGGTCCTCTGTATTCGTCCAGGGTGCGGCTTCTACTGATTTTTTATGGAGTATTGTGGTCGTGATCCGGCGAGCACGGTGCCAATTTTTACTTCCTAGAGGGATAGATGGCACATCGAAGTCGCACAAAACTGAGCAATAACAGGTCTGTGATGCCCTTAGATATCCGGGGCCGCACAATCGCCTACAATGACGATGCCAAAGAGTCCGGAAACTTGGCCCGAAAAGTTTGGGCAAACTGTTTCATTACCGACGTGACTAGGATCGTGGCTTGCAATTATTCCCTGTGAACGAGGAATTCCTGGTAAGTGCAAGCCATAGACCTGCGCTGATCACATCCTTGCCCTTTGTACATTAAGTTGATTAATTTTCAATTTTGATATTGATTTGAACACATACTTCTTGAAGCACAAAAAAAAAAAGAAATATGGCATCCAGTTTAGTTAAACAATCCTATTTTGAGAAGAAATAAAGAAAGTGAATAACTAAACACTCTTATGCTTGATATTAGATGTTTGGAGGCGATCGGCCACAGGAAGCCTTGGACCTAGTAGTTTCACGTTAGTAGTTGGCACTAGTCAGCAACCTTAAAGGAACATATGTCCCTTCTGAGATTCGAATCCACAGTACCCATTGCTACAATCAGAGACGTCACCACTGAGCTATTCGGACTCGCAATTGACCAGTTGTTCGACTGTATCTTATGTTTATTAACAAATGAAAGTTATTGGTAGCTACATGGTCACCAGTGATTTCGAGTATCTTCCAACATTCATTTTTGAACTTTTGGTGTTAACCTAAACTAATTTTATTTCATGCGGTGTATCAAAGTGGCTTAACTGTTAATAGTTTTTGTTACCAACGCTGCAACTTTGTTAGTTAATTTTCGAGAAACCTGTCTAGCAATATATATATATATATATATATATATATGTAGTAATACGCTGTAATATTATGCGGATCAGAGACTTGGCCAGCGCGTCATAAAGAGCACCTCAAACAAACTACAGACCTTCATCAACATCTGTATTCGCTCAACACAACTCAAGATCAGATAGCCGGCCAGAAAAGATCAACAACAGGGATCTCTGGAAATGAGCGAACCAACCCAGCAGAAACCGATTGTGAAACAAATAGGCAGGAAGAAATGGAGATGGATCGGCCATCGCTGAGGAAGCCATCAAGTGACATCACTAGACAAGCCAGTGCTCGAGTGGGACCCGAAAGGGAAGCGGTGAGTTGGTCGTCATTGAGAGGGTGACATGGAAGAGGTCATATGAAGAGGAGATGAAAACATGTGGGCAGACATGGAGTGGGGTGAAAAAGTTGGCAGAAAACCGAAGTCAATGGAGACGTTTGGCTGAAGCCCTTTGTTCCTCTAGGAATTAAAGGATATAATAATATTAATAATAAATAATACACTGTGATACTTCAACTGCCTAGTCTTCCTGATGTTTTTTCTCGTTATGACGGTCTTACAGTATACCTGCTGATAGACTTATCTTATTAAAGATTATAGGTTGCATGCAGGCGATGAGAACCAACGAAATTAAATGGATCCATGTTATTCTGCACCGATTTTGTGTTCCGTCACTGCTAAAATCTATGAAAGAGAATTCTTGTATGAGACAAGCTAAAGGTGTGGGGTTCTGTTGATCATTGGTAATGTTATGCATGTATACTAATGAAGAGTTCTAAAAACAAGTACGAAACAGATGCTTTGTATGTACTTCCTCGTTTATTTTCAATGGTTTATCAACAAAACATAGTTTTTTGTTCAGTGAAGGAATATCTCTTTTGAACGAATTCATTTTCAAGCTGTACAGCTGCATTCATGTTGCGTCGGTGGCATAGCGGTTAAGACGCTCGCCGACCATGCACATGGTCCGGGGTTCGATTGCCAGCCACAAACGCACTCCTTCACCTCGCTAAGGCAGAAATAATAGTGGTAAAGAGGAAAGGTTGGGCATGAGGCTAGCGACCACATCCTGTAAAATTAAACACTGCTACAGAAACTTCAAGTCACTAGCTTGAAGCCCTATGTTCCACTGGGAACGTGAAGGAAATAAAAAAGAAAATACATTTAGATAAACGACTCCTAATGACTTCAGAAATACTGTCACCTTTGCTGCTGTGATTTGTCTGGGAATGGTTTCTTTCTTGATGTTTTTGTCCATAGACCCTCTTGGATATCCATTATTTAGGCGAGTTGTTGTACGAAGGTTTTCTAGTTCAATGTCGACCATATCTACAGAGCATATTTTCCAAATTCTCGAGCATAGAGAACGAATAAGATTCCTCTTGCTGTGCTAGAGAGGTAGCCAACAAAAGTATATTCGTGACTAGTCTTGAAACTCCACTTTAGTCAAAAAGTATCAGCTGTACAGGCTAATATGCTTATTCCATATATAACAAAAATAAAATATACATACACCTGTACCCGTTAAAAGAAAAAGTGACTTTTTCTATAACAAAACAATACATAACTACTACTGGTGTATAGTAATTATGAAAACAGCTGTTAACCTATCTGTTGTAATAATATTCACATCTATTTGGGCTGTATTCACAATTGTGACTTGCACACGTTTACATGAATTATGCATATAAATGTATGTTCAAGTTATTCGTTTGTAGGGATTTGATTGATTGATTACATGATTTCATCATGAGCTGACATCGGTTAGAGAACCACTGGAAAACCAGCTGTTTCGTCCGTCTAGTTTGGGACTCTTATTCAGCAGTACGCAACCACTGACAGGGTTAGAACCCATAACCTTATGGTTACAAGGCGAGCTAGCTCGCAGAATATTAAGCCACTGGGACTCGATCCAATTGCTAACGGGATTCTAGGGGGGAAGTCGTGACCGATAGGCTGCAGAAGTTTGAAGGTGAGGCAGTAACTCATCGAAGAAGACATTACGAAGTGGTTGCATTATGTCATGAGTTGGCAGAAGTTGGAATTCATGGGCTGGTCATTGGATCAGGTGCCAGGGGCTTAATGGTCTACGAGCTAGCTCGTCTTGTAATCAGAAGGTTCTAGGTTCGAACCCTTTTGGTTGGTGCGTACTGGTGAATAAGAGTATCAAACTAGGCTGACGAAAAAGCTGTCCAGTACTCCCATCCAAGCATAAATACACTTTGCTACATACTGCTGATCGACTGAAATGATTAGTATTTGATGATATTAGATAGTTGAAGGCAATCGGCCACAGGGTAAACCTTGGACCTAGGTTTCGGGATAGTGGACACTCGTCAGCAAGGCATACCTGCAACCTTGAAGGAACTCATGTCCCTTCTGAGATTCGAACCTGGGTCACCCACTGAGTGCTGCAATCAGAGACTTCACCACTGAACTATTCGGATTCGCGATTGACCTCCTGTAGGACTGTAGTCGGTTTTTTGATTGGACACTAGTAACTAGTGTGACGTTAGCCAGCAACATTGGACGACTGTTTCTCTCTCCATCTAGGCTGAGTTTATCAGCGCTGTATCCATTCAACTCACCTCGGATAGCTGAATCAATTCAAAGCAGCATATCTCTAACTAGCTACTTGTGGACTAGTTCACAGCTATTCTCAATTAGGGTTTTATATACAATCTTGAATTCATCTTTAATTACATCTTTTGAAGAAATGGAGCTCTGACCCTTTCTCTAGCTCAAACTCACTATTGCTACTTTGGCCTGCTGTGTAGTCTATAAAATCCATAAATACTACTGTTGTATCAACAGAAGACAAGGGCCAGGCAACAGATCGTTTATTTACGAAATCAACAGATATTTGTAGATTTTCATGTACATTATTATAAGGGATATTGTAAGCAAACAAACACAGTCTTCTGATTGGTGATTTCTCGTTGAACATTAATCTTTCATCTCTTTGTGGCCATTTATTGAAGTTCAGATTGTCTATCTGCAAATTGTATCCGCCTGCGCAAAGTCTACTGTGATCGGTTGTTGAATCAGTCTTTGTTCTTATTTTTCTCATGACCAACATTGGGGACGTAAACATTGATGTAAATTACTGTCTGCCAATTTAGCTAGCCGCCAGCTCTCACCACACTCGTCCCCTCGTCAAAGACTTGCGACTGAAGTTGATTCGGGCTTCTTGGTTCCAAGGGATTTGTTCGTTTGCCTTGCTGTCTGGAATCTCAGCGCTTGCTGATGTTCATCTGTTTCTCTTTGTTTACCATTGCGATTGTGTCTGCCCAACCACCTCTTAAAGTGACCATATGTGGTCCTTCCCACTTTGAAAACTCTTTGCCTGACCCTGTCGCACATTCGTTGGTATTTCGCCTCACACTTTCATATGCTGCTTTCTCGCGACCTCCCAGCAGCGTTCCAAGTAACAGCCTCATCGCTGACAGATCTTGAACGCCACTCAACTGCGCAGAAGCCTCGCAGTCCTGCCAGAAGATCCATATATCTCCATCAAAAACTGCAGGACAAAGGCTTTCCATTTGTCGGTAAGCAACGACAGGTATTTTCTCTTCTTTTAAGTATGACCTCCCATCCTGTATGTCTATATAATAATAATAATAATTTTTCCTTCACGTTCCCAGTGGAACATAGGGCTCCAAGCTAGTGGCTTGAAGTTTCTGTAGCAGTGTTCAATTTTTACAGGATGGGGTCGCTAGCCTCATGCCCAACCTTTCCTCTTTACCAGCATTATTTCTGGCTCAGTGAGGTGAAGGAGTGCGCCGGCCGGGAATCGAACCCAGGACCATATGCATGGTCGGCGAGCGTCTTAACCGCTATACCACCGACGCACTGTATGTCTATATATATATATATATATATATATTTCCCCTTTCTTTCAGTCTCAATTATCAAATGAAGAGACTTCACTGAATCATTGTCCATACAATTCAACAATTCTAAAATCTTTGCAATCATCGACACAATCAACTTCTCCATCACTCTCTCATGGATTGTATTCATCAAATTTCAACAATTCAAAAGTCAATCATACCAATTTACACACCGGAATAGGTGATGATGGTAATCACGAAAAAGTTGAAGAAGAAAATGAAGAATACGACAATGACGGTGAAGAAGATACAGAGGTGTATAATTTAGCCGCCAAATTCTTAGCAGATGAACAAAAGCATTCAGCATTATTAGAAGAACAAATTGATGCACATTTAAAAGATTTAAAGGAGTATGCTGCCACTTTAAACGGATTCTGTTAGGATTACACCCGGTATATATATATATATATATATATATATATATATATATATATATATGATGAGGATTAATTCCCTACCATTACTGCTAATTTCTTGATTGAATTTGAGTAATCTATTGTGTGTTTGCTTTTTTCGTACTGACGATACCACTTATTTACACGGGAATATTATGAGTAGTATCTTATCTTATCTCAGCTCTTAAGGCTCTCTCTCTCTCTCTGAACTGGTTGATTACAATTTTACGGAGTGGCACTCCATGTTTATCTGTGATATACATTTTTATATCTATATATGTAACCTCTTCTATTACATAATAATATTGCATAACAAATCTTTCCGAGAAAGAAGTAATACCTGTGCATAACTGTGTATTTATACCTCTTTATAAACATTAGGCGTTTTTTCTATCGATTTTTATGTAGTATATTGTATTGTACGCTCGTGTGTGTATGTATGTATGCATGCGTGAGTGCGATATGCGCACCCATATCTGATGATTCTCCTTACAGATAACTGAACCTCACGACAATGAATACATCGATTCAGCTCCAAACGCACGCACACACATACACTCATACATTCCCTTTGTTCTAGGCAAGTTGTCAGTTTATATATATTTCAGGTCATTTTTGAAGATCCAACTTCCTACTTGTGTTTGTGTGTGTGTGTATTAATAATCAGAGGATTGTATCAGCCAATAATGTGTGGGTGTGTTTGTCTGTCTATCAATCTATCTTACACTTTTGTAGCTTGTGCCATAAACAAACACCACAGTCTCTTTGCCTTATTGATATTAATTAAGAAAAGACTTAATTTTTCGTCCACGCTCAGATTTTGTGGTGGATAGTTAGTGTAGTATATTCTTTCAGATCGACGGTGAACCCGATTAATTTAATTTGTTATTTTTAAAAATTTTAGGTGTATTTTGTTTTTCAAATCATAAATACCGCCTATTTTGTGTAACGTATTTTCGTTTCCCCCGCTTGATTTCTTTTTTTTTTAAAGAAGAAATCCAAACCATTTCGTTTGACAAGAGTGAAGATAGTCTTCTTCTTCGTCTTGGTTCTTTTCGTTTTATTTTTGAGTGAAAAACTCCACTTTTCTGTTGTTGTTGTTTTTGTTTCTTCTTCACTTACTTTCGACTACAATGTTCCTTTTTTTTCTCTGTTACTATCCTCCTAACTACTGTTTCAGGAAGTAGGTTTTTTGTATTTTGTCTTGTCAACAAAAGACTTCCATTGTAATAGTAGTGGTAGTAGAGTATAGTAAGATTTGAATAATAAAGCTCAGTGTGATCAATATTATTGTATTTTGTTTTAACATTGTGCGTTCGTGGAGATTTGATCGACTTCAATTTCGATCGATAAATTAACTTCAGTTGGAGAACTGTGTCTGTCATTGAAAACCAGCCGGGCCTGTTTCATGCTTGTTCTGGAGAGACTACTCTTTAAAATAATTAGTCCTTTTGATAAATTTGAATAAGGAAGGCATTTAGAAGACAAATTTCACCGCAAGATGATATCGTCATTTCGTAGTTTCTTCACAACCGCTTTACAATTAACATAGTTAACGATAATAAAATAAATAAAGTACATGATAATGACCAATCATAATTAGACAGGTCATGTTGTTCATGGTAGGCGAAGATTGAAGTCTATAGATTTTTGTACACACAGTTTAAGCTGTATGTGATTAATCCCCACAGTGCTTCCATCACCTTCTATAACCAACCTTTAATTAGACTTATGTGATGAATGATTGTGAAACAGTCATTAATATTGATTTTGTGACCTGGCATTAATAAGTGTTTTGCAATGAATGATGCTGGATTTCTATTCAGATTAATCGCATTGGGATTTTCGATATGATTTAGTAGCCATTTTGGATCTATTTTTCGTAAACAGACATGGAGTGAACAATATCTTCTTTCCACCAGTTTTGTTCCTATCCAGTATAAAAGTTCCCTAGTGAAATGTTTGTTCTCAAGGGCCCGAAAAATATGCACGAGTGACATATTGATGGATGAACTTCGACACATACATTCAGTTTTATTAGCTAATGGTTATCCAGAAAACTTCATCAATTGTCATAGTAAGGTTACACCACATCTAGAACAGACAGCTTCTGTACCAAAGAAAGCTATCTTTATTAACCTACCATTCAATGGCGACCAGATTATGCAGTTGACAGCTCAAAGACTTCGGTCAACCATCAAACGCACATTCTACACCGCCGCATCTCTTTTTCTCACTTGCCGAACATTTTCGATCCCTGTACCTATGATCAAAGGACGAAATTCTGTGGACTCTACTTCAAACTATATCTACAAGTTCACCTGCAGCTGAAGTGACACCTATGTAGGTAGAACTAACAGAATGTTCCAATGTAGTCGTCAAAAAGAACATGTTCCAAAATGGCTACTAAATCATATCGAAAATCCTAACGCGATTAATCTGAATAGAAATTCAGCATCATCCATTGCAAAACACTTAATAATGTCTGGACACAAAATCAATATTAATTACTTCCATATTAGTTTGATTATTAAATGTATCACACAGTGAAACAGTATTGTATCCAGTATACAATACTGTTTCACTGTGTGATACATTTAATAATCAAACTAATATGGAATTACTTAATACCACAGTGCCCAAGTTTTACACATATATTAATATTAATTACTGTTTCATAATTATTTCACACAACTCTAATTCAAAGTTATTTAAGGTGATGGAAGCACTTTGGATTAATCACATAGAGCCTAAAATGTGTGTAGAAAAATCAATAGACTTCAATCTTCGCCTACCATGGACTACATGACCTATCTAAATATGATTGGTCATTAGTATGCACTTTTGTTCTTTTTATTTAACTGAGTAATTTTCATGAACTTTATTTTATTCATTGTTAACCATGTTAGTTGTAAAGCGGTTGTAAAGAAACTACGAAATGAAGCGATCATCTCACGAAATTTATCTTCTAAATGGCTTATTCAGACTACTCCTTGTCGGTATGGACCCATGCATGACCCCCTACCACCTCACTGTTAACTCAACACAGGATGAAGTTCTTTGAATGACTACCAATGACATTCATTATCTGTCAGTGGCGTTATAAATCGCCAACTGGCACAAGTTAGAATTGACTGGTTATCAGATTCTGTCCCAACGGCTGGAACAGTCATGGTTGCGTTCTGCTTGAAGAAGATTCTCAAACTAGGATGAGACAATTGTCTAGCACTTTCTGGTTTTTCAATGGTTCTCTAATTAAAGTCAATTTCAGGTTAAAAGTGGAGTCAATATTGTTCTTGATAATAAGCACTTCAAGATGTTGCATTAAGCAAGAGTAGTTTACAGTTTAAAAATCCACCCCCTCAGTCATCATACATGCTTGTTGGATACATCTTCTACCTAAACCTGTCCAGTACTCCCTGGTTTTCAATGGTTCTCCAACTCATATCAATCCGTGATCAACTCGTAAAAACAAAACTAACCCTTATAAACCAAACTATAGAAAATTAGTCTAATGAGCTTGGTATTACACTTATTGTATTTGACAGTGATATTTTTAATATTATAATTATTCTGAAGTCATTTTAAAAGACATAGTTGGTGGTGATCAGCAAACAATATCCCTTTGCATAACTTCACTTCAAAGCTGTGTACAGTTATATAGTGCCTTAAAAGGTCAGGGAAATATGTTTGTAAAAGTCGATTGTTTTATATCAATAAGTATTGAGTCGCGTCCCAGTGTCTGAATAGACTACAAGCTTATTTTGTAACTGGAAGATCATGCGTTGGAAACCCATTGGGCGCGCACCGCCGATGAGTTCCTAACTAGGACGAAACGCCTGTCTACTACTCTCTCGTTGGTTTTCAATGGTTTTCTAACTGACATCAATCTGTGCGCGAACTTGAAACAAATACAATCCTTACAAAACTAACTCTTGAAAACATTTCCACTTTCCTTCCGCTGATTTGTTGGACAGTAGGATGTTGATTGGTACTCTGTCAAGGTTCATTTTGTTAATCTTATTTTTCGGCTATCAGATCTTCATTAATCAAGGGAAGATATCTATTGATAAAAGTTCAAAGACTGTTTGAAATGGTTTTGGCGAATCCTACACCAAATCTCTGAACTATATTGAAGCAGTAACTTAATGTTAGGTGTTAATGATTCAGATCATGTCTGTTATGCTAAGTGTAGTAGATTTCCACAGGGAGTTCAGATTAATAAAGATCCATTTTACTTTCCAGATCCTTTCTTTGACATACTTATCTGCGCTACCTGTAGATGAAATCATACTGCTTAGATAAGTGAAAGAAGTGACTTACTTTGAATTTCTCCAGTTGATCGTGATTGATTAGGTACCTGAAGAACTAATACAGGAGTGTTCTATCAGACGCTCAGTTAACTGGTACAGAATTACTAGTATTTTGTTTAACCTCAGCAGGATAGTAGAGTATGACAGTCGGTGCATTCCTTTCACGCCAGTAGAAGAAATAGTTTTGAAAACAAAATTTGAATGGAATACTCCTTTTTAAAAAAATTAAATTCTAGATTTTCCCAACGACTGATTGGATCGAAGTGCTCCTCGGTCTCAGGTTGACATGTTGGCTTCTTGTGAAGATGCTTCGACGATGTCTGGGTTCGAGCCTCGGTGGGAACATCATCAGTCACTGGGGGAATGTAGGCAGATCCAGACGACGACTCCCAAATAGGACGAAATGCGCACCAAGCTGGATTCCACTGCTAGTCACCATCTACGAAGTAACTTCTAATTACCTGCCTAGACATCGTCGAAAGCATCTATAAAAGAAGCCTACATGTCAACCTGAGATCGAAGAGCACTTCGGTCCAGTGAATCGACGAAAAAATCTAATATTCAATTAAGTTCTTTTATGACTTACATAATTATATACTTTATGTACCTCGATATATTGTTGTTAGCTTTACTCCCGATATACTTTGATTTATAGGCGGAACTTGGATCACAT